TTCATCATTCCGCCCCCACGAGAGAGTTCTTAGAGGGCCCACGGAGGCTCCAGGAGGGCCCATGGCGGCCCCGGGAGAGCCCACGAGATCTCAAGAGCCCCCCAGAGGACCCACTTTGAATTACACTCAGTGAGCTCCAGAGGGCCCAGGAGGCTCCAAGAGGCCCCGAAGAGCCCAAACAGGCCACAGGACCCCCAGCACGCTCTAGGAGAGCCAAGGCGACACCAAGAGGCTCCAGGACGGCGTCATTCCCTCTCCTCCTGCTCGTCGTCGCCATCTGCCTCCTCATCCGTCCTGCTTCAAATCCTTCCTCCCCCTCTTCTTGCTCCTTCTCCCCTTCTTTCTCTTCCTCCTCCTCCTCCGCCTCCTCTTCTTCTCCTCCTCCTCCTCTTCCTCCTCCTGTTCCTACCTCATCTGTAGCTTCGATGGCTCCGATAGCGCCGTGCGCGAGATCCGCCTCCTACCCATCCGCCCTCCTCCCTCCTCCCTCCTCCTTCCCTCCTCCCTCCTCCCTCCCCCCCTCTCTCGGGAGCGTCACAAAGAGGCCCTCCGAGGATAATTTCACGACATCAAGGGCGCCGACACGATGAACAGACACCACGTCGGGGCTCTGGGAACGGAGTCGAAAACGAAACCTCTAATATTTTGGTCGTCGATGTTCGGGGCATCTTTCTGACCACCTGCGAGCCTTGCGGGAACTTCCGAGAGCCTCAGGGGTGGACGTCTTGGCGCAAGAACACGAGTGGAGGAAGAAACAACGCGACGCTCCACTGAGTAAACTGCACCCAGTTGGCTTCTACCCCCGCGAGGGGCGTTACAGGGCATGGACATATCCGGGGGCCCGGGTGCGAAATATATCAGTATTCGCCGCCCGCTGGGGCACCAAGACGTCGGTTCCGAGGCGGCGAATATGGGTACATCCCCGTCTCGCAGGGTGGTCATGGTGGGTGACCTACATGGGGCCCTGCGGGGGCCCCTTTGGGGGGGCCCTGTTGGGGTCCTACAGGGCCTCTTGCCCAGACCCCGCCGAGTCATCAACCAAAACGATCACGACGGGAGGCTTTGTGCCATGTTCGGCCTCTGGAGGCCTTCGCCTGGCGTCGGGGGCGTCAAAAAAACCAGTCAGGGCTAGAATCCGGCCCCAGGGAATGGGTCGAGACCGGCGAAGGCTGACGCTCCGAAAAAATCATGACGTCGGGGGTTTGGGGTATGGGGCCGCGTAAGGCCTCTTAAGAGTGTCCTACTGGGGCCCTTTTTCTTCAACCCCCATGTAGGTCACCCCCCGCGACCGCCCGCCCGCTCCCCGCGACTGGTATGTCATCCAGCAGGCCACTTGTTCGATGGCCCCGAGGTCAGGCAGGGACCCTCTGCACATGCCCCACATGCTGCGCAGACGCATGATGTTGTTTGACAGCGCGGGGGCATTTGGTGCGTCCGCCAATCCTTTTTTCCGGGATCCCCCATAGTCCCGAATGTGCCACACGGGATGCAAAAACGAGGGCTGACATCCCATGGAAATCTTGGAACGCACCGTGAGACACTGCTTGGCCACTTTCGTTGGACGCGCCCCGCTCGAAAAGTGCCTGCGTGGCCTTCCGAAGCCCCTGCGTCCTTTACTTCAGCTCGACAGCCGCACCCGCGCCAGGCTCGAACGAACCCGTCCCCCTCCTCCTCCTCCTCCTCCTCCTCCTCCTCCTCCTCCTCCTCCTCCTCGATCCTCGATCCTCGATCCTCGATCCTCCTCTTCCTCTTCCTCCTCCTCCTCCTCGCCCTCTTCGTTCCTCCTCCTCCTCCTCCTGGATACTCGATCCTCCTTTTCCTCTTCATCCTCCTCATCCTCCTCATCCTCCTCGCCCTCTTCCTTTTCGTTTTCTTCCTCCGCTTCTTCCTCGATCGTCGATCCTCCCCCTCTTCCTCTGCCTCCTCCTCCTCCTCCTCGATCCTCGATCATCGATCTTCCTCGATGACATGGCAGCAGTCCTCTCCCACTTCTGGGCGGGCCCA